TGCTGGCATCCGGAATAATTGGCGATATTGCTGCTCGGTGGGTTCTTGCGCACTAAAGATCACCGCCCCTGAGTGGGCTGGGAAGGCAATGCGGTATTCGTTCATATCCCGCAGCCCTTGGGCTATTTCACTTGGACTACCGTCGCCTGTCGACGGATGACTGGGCTGGTCCAAAGTTGCATGGCCGGCTGCGCGCCTTCTACAAAGGGGAGCTGCGGCAGGAAAAGGGCTAGAATCACGAAGAATTCCCGGAAGGGGATGGGCTGCAACAGGTCTCTTGTGACTGCGGTAAGCCATTCAGCACAATCGCTTTGCTGAGCACCACCTACCCGGAAGGTGCGTAGGAGAAGGGCCTGCGCCTCCGCCATCGAGGTGATGCCTTGGTCCGGTACACACTGGTTGAGCAGTGACAATAGTGCATCATCAGGGAGGTGTATGGCAGGCACTAGCCTAGCGATTGACAGGTATGACCTCCGGATACCTGAGCTTCAGTTCGGTCAGGTCATATCGACCCAAAGGGAGCTGGCGCCGTAACCAGTGGAGGTATTGGTGTTTGGAGGTACCCATCCATTTGTCAGATCCACTTACCACAGTATAGTCTAAGCGGTGCGAGATAACATGGCGCTCAATCTGATTGGGTTGCCAATCACACAATAACATGGAGGGATTGTAACTACAGGGTTGCATGCCTAGTTTCCTTTTTCGTGACGCATTTTGCTGTGATTCCATGTTCACTTGATTGGTTGCAGTTGCTTGTAACTAGCAGGATGTATCTCAGAAGATCGCAGTGCAAACAGTAACAAAGGGCTTGTAACTAGAGGGTTGTCTAGATTCTAGATTCCTTTTCCAATTTGCTGTGGAGTTGAGCTCTTGTGCAATTGGTCCTGGCAGGAATCTTTACGTGAATCGGTTGTCGTTTCGATCTGTCACGTACCACCTTGAAAGTGTTGAACTTTCAAGATCCCAATGATGAGGAAAAGCAAGTGTTAAGAGTCATCACTGTGAGACTCCAGAAAACTTGCTCTTTGAGGGGTCTTGAGTTGTTGAGCCTGTTGTCTTGCGTGTTTGATCTTGGTTGATCGTGTTTTGGACTTGCTTGTAGCTGGTTGTCCTGGTTTTGGTGACCGTTGATCGACCTAAAGATCATCTTGGAGGACAGGAGTCGAGATCTTAGTTGATGCTCGAACCTTAGTTGCTCAGAGAAAACGAATAGAAGAGAAGAAGAAGGCAGGAAGAACCAGAAGAAGGTACGAGGTGACCCAAGAATGTGACCAAGAATGGCTAGGAACACCTTTAGAGAAGCCCTGGCTAGAGCTGGGTATAGTATAGAATAGCTTGAGAGTGTTTGGAGATGCTTTCTTGTTCTTTTAACATGGTTTGGACGACTGCGACCAGTCAGACCTCTTCAGAAGAAGAGATGAAGGACTTTGATGATCACGAAAGGTAGCGGTTACGCTACCTGAGTTTTCCTTTTGCTTTAGCAAAAATGTATTAACCCAGAGCTGCAGCCTATCTCTCGGAGAAATGGTCCCCGACATCTTCGTTTGCTGGCCGCGGGGGGGGGGGGGGGGGG